TATCTATCTATCTATCTATCTATCTATCTATCTATCTATCTATCTATCTATCTATCTATCTATCTATCTATCTAAACACTTCCTGAAGTAGATGAAGAACTACTAAAAACTGTTGATGACATAGCAAAGCATATGGTCCATTACCTACTAACTTCTTGGGGTGGAGGTATAATAGTTAGAAGTAAAGTATGTTTGAATCATGGACCCTCTATTAAAAAACAAAACAAACAAAAAACTACAAAAACCCTCACTTACTGTTTCTCCCCATTCTGTCCTCTTCTCATTGTCCTGCTTGCCCCAAGTATCTTCACTTCAGTCCCTTCTGCAACAATGACAAGTGATTTAGCCACAGCTCAGTTACTTTATAGATGCTATTATAAAAGAAAAGAAGATATTTCTCATCACTTCTTATACGACCATCTCATCCTATCCCAGGTCACTTTACATCTTTGAAAGCTTTTTAAACATGTCCTTCAATCTTAGCCTAACTTAATTGCTAAGCCAGTTAATTTACCATCTTTTTAAAGATTTATTTATTTATGCATACAAGAACTGAGGTGTATGCCAGAGGTGCAGGAGCATGAGAGGTTTCACCAGAAACAGAGTGGGGAGCAGAACAGGCAGATTGACTGAAATACGTTGCTGAACGGAGCAGTGGGTGGGCAGGAGAGGTCTGCCATGCCATGTCGGTCATCCCCCTGGCGAAGGATCGAACTCAACTGTGATAGACTATTGATAGACCCACAGCGCTGCTCTTTTAACATGTTGCTACCAGGGAGGGCCCTCATTTAACATTGTTAAGCACATACTATATATTTTAAGTTAACCTATAAGTACCCCATTTATTTTATCATTAGGCATTATGCTTTAACATTTACTTATACACAAATAAATTCTAAGTAATGCGATTTAATAGCGATAAAGCACTAAAATTAAGGTTTGTTGACAATGATTTAAATAACTGATATATTTTTGTGTCAATTGAGACATTCATGCAAGTTTTTTTTTTAATTCTAGTTGTGTTGCTTGATACAACAACTGTGCTGGGAGAACTAGGATGGAAGACATATCCATTAAATGGGGTAAGTTTCAATATTGCTTGAGACTGATGTTTTCTTAGGATTTCAGGATCTTTTATAAAAGTAAGAGCAGCAGTAGACTTGACTCTACTTAGTGTAAATTTAACGTGCAATGTAAATATCATAAGAACATTAAAATATAATTCAAATTGGTGATCAGAGGGTATATGTAAACTGTGTGATTTGTTCTAAATCAGTAATTGATTTTAATGCAGTTTGTTTTCAAGATTATTTATGCATACAGAACTGGGGTACAAGCCAGAGGTGCATGCAGAACTGGGGTACAAGCCAATGCAGGGACAGTGAGAGGCTTCACCAGAGACAGAGTGGGGAGCAGAATAGATTGATTGACGAAGTACACTGCTGAGGGGAGCAGTGGGCAGGTCAGGAGAGATCTGCCATGCATATGGATCACCTCCAGGGAAGGGGTCGAACTCATGCTGAAGTGGCTTTAACTTCTTAGTGCTGTGCCAGCAGGGAGGACCCTTAATGTAGTTTTTATAAAGCGAGTACTACTGGAATATTTCCCATAATAGTCTTTTATTTAGAAATAGATTTCTGTGTGTAAGTCCACATCTTTTATGTATATTCATTAAATTTCATGATCTTAGCATTTGTGCATAAACGAAATTTTATTTCCAAAACTTAAATGGTATTTTACAGAAAATAACATTTTTTTATTTTAATATGAGTCTATTCAAACAATATGTATGTTTTTCACTATGTAAGAAGATATATTATTATTAGATTTTTATTGACTGGAAGTAGTTGATTTTGAAAAACTTAAAAGGGTATATATTTAATTTACAAAGTACAGCTTCTCAGGTATGACATCATTTTTGCTGCAGTTATTCCTAACTTGTATGTTTTAATATAATTTTCACCATTTTCACATTGTAGTGATATTTACATCTTCAGCTGAAATTAAAGGATGGTTGTTGAAGGCTTTTGCATCGGTTTTTATATTGGCGTAAACAGAACTTGTACTAATGGGGATAGTGAAATGTTTTCAGATATACTTTATAGCTTTTCTTTCTTTTCTGGGAAATTGTTGTCTCATTCATCACACTTTTAGTTGATTTTTTTCTATTGCTTCTATTCCCACTGCAAATTTTTATTGATCTGAGAACTTGACCCAAGCATATTTTATGATTTTAGAATAATTCAACCTTTTTTTAAATTTGACCTAACTTATCAAAAATTATTCAGTGAATATGTGTATTTTGAACTAAAAATTCCTGTGAATGGTTGAATCACCTTGTGTTTATTTAACAGACTATTTGTCTCTTTAGATTTTTTTTTGTTTTATATTTTTAAAACAATCTAATTTTATTCTTCTAGAATTCCTATCAAGTCATTTCTGAGAAATATCTTTTCAATTACAATTGTTTTTAATTTCATTATCTTAATTCTGATAAAATGAATAACTGTCAATATTTGTTAAGTGTATTATGTGTATTACATTTACCGGCTTTCAAGAAGTGATTATACCTTTTTTCTAAAAGAGTCTTCGAAGGTATATAACTATCTCCTTTGATTAATATGCAAAGTTAACTTAATAATAGTAGAAACCCTATGGTTTCATTTTCTGGGAAGAAGAAAAAAAGCTTTTTCATTGGAGATCATATTATTACTGGCCTCATGTAGTCAGTGACAAGGATTCATTATAATCATTACAGACACTATAATAATAATTGTGCATTTTATTTTCTCAATGGCCTTAGAGGTATGCCCTCAGTTCTGTTTCTCAGTTTGAGAATTTCAGTTTTAAAGATAGTAAGGGACAAAAATATCAATAAGTTACAGGCCAACTTGTGAGTGTTAAACTCTATTTCAAACTGATTTATTTCTGACACTAAAGCTTATCTATTTATCTAGCACTGCTATCAGTGAGAAATATTGGAAATGTGATGAAATGCCTTACATCTACTTGTGATATTTGAATAATTGATTCTTATACCTGATAAACTGCTAGACTGAGATGTACATTTTTTATTCCCAGACAAAAGAAAGAAAGTAAGAGAGAAAGAAGAGGGGCATATAGTACAGCATAAATGAAATATAGAATAAAGGTGGAAATGGAAAAAAAATGTTGAAAATTTAAGTTATCTTACCTACCTAACATGTGGGCTGTGTTCAAAGCACTTGACTCACATCAGTCCTAGAAAGCAAATATGAGTTTTCCTTATTGAAAGATGTAGAAATTGACAACTTAGCTACATTGAGTAATTTCTACAAGGTTTTAGAGCTAGGATATAGCACAGCCAAGATTCTAAACTAGCCATATCCTAATTTGACACTTATCATGCCACAGCTTGTTGCTTTTTATTTCTTTGAAAATTCTACCATGTAATAAAAGGCCAATGATCCCTCTGTACAGACCACATAGGAAAAAGTAGCTCATGGATTCAGACATTAAAAATTATATTGAATAATCAGGCATCTTATCAGTAGCATTACTGGAATAAGCTATATTACTTTTATAATAATGCATATATGGAAAGTATCAGTACTAAAAATACTTTAAAATGAGAGCCTAAGAACATATTTTATAATAGATATAAATGTAACTGCATGAATTAGGCAAAGCAAAGGTGAGTCAAGGAAAATAATGACATAGGTAGACCATATAAGTGATATTACAGGATGTACTGCCTGTAATATATTGCACTAACAAGGTGGATTATTGACAAGAATGGTACTTTACTTTACACTATTTATTAAAAAATAAGGAAATAATCAGTAAGGATGAAGAACTTTGGGAGAGAAAGCTACTGAAAATGTCAAGAATTAAAATCATTTAAACATCCAATATTGGTTAAATTATTTAAAATCTATGGAAACTATTACTCAGTTTATCAGCATTTATACCTGTATATTAAACTTCTATATCTTTGAAATTGTATGAGTTTATCATACATGAAATAAAATGCTTTTTTACAGAGACACTAGACAGTTCATTTTACAAATGTTTAATGGGTATACAAGACAATGGGGTTATTTATTTGGCCATTTTATGATACAAGTTATTTGGCATGTCTCTGAATAAATTAAATTAAAAAATAACTTTTTAATTGTTAAAACTTATTTTCTATAACTAATTGCACTGAGATATTTTTGAAATATTATGTCTTTATATACAATTATATGCAAATCAGTATTTTTTTTCCATAGATTTGGTTTTAGAAATCTAAACCTAGTTTTAAAGAAACAGCTTTTTACCTAGTAATGTCGTACTGAGTAGTTACAGGAGTAGGCAGTCATGGTGTGCCTATGAGAAAAAGCATTACTGGTGACCTGGGTAAGAGACCAGCACCCCTAATTAGTGACTATGGAACATCAATGAGAAGTTTTGTGCAAATGAAAACACTGAAAAAAATACAGAATATATTTATTTTCTGAAATGCATACTTGTCAATTCATTTGTTTTGACACTTAAAATATACTTTATTTTAAGCAGTATTCAGTGTTCAGTTGAATAAATTTATGGGACTTTTTCTCTTTGTGTCACATCCCCTTTTAGTGTATTTCAAATTTTATCTGTCATTAAAAGTAGACTTGAAGTTTACAAATAATTGTATACAATATAGTAAGAATCTCCTGGTACTTTTTGAAAGAATAATACAGGTAGGAATTCTGATCAGGGAAAAGTGATAATAGGATGTGACATTATCAGCTCTTGTAAAATGTAGAAGAATCATTTGTGGACTGAAAGAAAAATTAGAAAGGCATGGCTTGAAGAAGGATATAGAATCTGTTGATATTGGTCCCAGTTTCAGAAATTTCCTAGGTAGAGTCTGAAACTGACACCTCTAAAGCAGGACAGGAAGAGGGAAGAGACGAATCACTTCCTTGCTTTATAGGCAAGAGAACTTAAAAGGCTTGTGTTGGGCAACATGGAGTAGGTCTGAGCAACCATCTTCAGAATCCTAAGTTTGTATAAAGACTTTACCTGGGTTCTGTCACATGTGTAGTGTCTAGATGTTCCTGGTAGTATGCTTTCCATGCTTTTAAGTGTCTCCTAGGAGGGAATAATGTGTAATGTGTGGAGGATGGGGGGAGGGTTGTGAAGACAGATGGTGAGGTGCCTCCAGTTGCCTGTACCCAGCTCACGGGTCAACCAGCAGTTATGTTCTCTCTGATTATTGCCTCTGACAATTGACTGGAGTGGAAGGATGTCATGAGAAGTAAGACTGTGGTCACTGACTAAGCTTTATTGGGAAAGAATTACAATTTCAGTATCTTATTGAATCGAAATTATACATATCTGTTTTGGCAAGAAAAACCTTCTGTATTCACTTAGGTAAAATTATAGAAACTATCTTTAACTTAAGACAATAATATAGATGTTTGGAAAATAAAGATAACTTGGAAAATTGTAGGAGAGATATTGAAAATAAAGGTGATATGGTATTATTGATATATTGAGAGTGAAGTGAAACTGAATAATTACATTGATATTTGCATAGAGATTGATGCTTAGTTTAGAGAAGATTAATGTATCAGGGACTTTGGGAACCAGTGATTGTAATTCTTATTGCCTAATGCTCTTATTGCCTAGTGTTCTTACTAATGTCAAAAATTTTATGATTACATCATTCAGATCTCAAGAACCGTAAGTGTTCTTTTCACTCTTTATCTGTGAGTGTATGACATTATGATGATAAAACTATGGTGATATACTAGACTAGTTTAACAAAGTTCAAGATCACTAAAAGAACTAATAGCTAATTAGTTAAATAATAGCTAACGAACTAATTAGCTATACTAATAAAAATTTTTGTATAATGGTTTAGAATTTATCAGTTAATACTGAAGAAAGTTTCCACAAACATTAAGTATAGGCTTATGCCTTGAATTTTCTATGTATTGTGAATGATTAATAGCTGTTTAATACTATGTCTTAGTATATGTAAAACTGATGGATTTATTTCAGTTTTGAAAAATCTCCTGGGAAGGAGGGGATAGTCTTTTTCACGCTACTTTAATACTAATGAAAAGGA